TCTCCTCTTAGGTGCTGGCACCAAAAAGAGTCACATGGATGGTTTGACATAGAGGAAATAGTGAAGACTCTTAGGTTTCAAATGGGGCAGTTCTTCCTATGTGGTGAAAGTGTTTGTACAACCTTCATGGGCTGGTTCTCCGGGCTTACATTCTTTTTATGAGAGGGTGGGATTGGAAGAGGAATCGAGCCCCTTCTAACCCACCCTGATTCAGAATTGCAAAGATTGCGCTTGAGAGTGGATGATTGCCTCTGAGTACTGCCATAACCCAGGAAATGGGGAAGGGCATAAGCACGTCTGTCTTCTGAAAATTATAGTATTTTTAGCTTCAGAATAGTTTAAAGCAGATTTAAATGCACAGTGGATAATGATAACTTTCACAGCTGAATGATCTCAGAGGACATCTGCTCGGCTGCTATTCAAACATGCTCTGACTGGCTCAGGGTGTTTATTTTTCTTTTGACAGTGATAAGTGATGGAGGGAGAGAGTGAGGATTTCAGGATCCATCATAAGATGATTAAGCTGGGTTGCAGGGCAGGGTCCTCCTAGCAGCGACTTTTCCCTGAAGTAGGTCCCCAGCTCCCCCTGGTGGAAAGGTTAACTGTCTGGAGGAAGCTTTGAAGTGGTCCAGACCCCTGTGTCCTGCAGTGAAGTGGTCACAGAGGGGCTGAGAGGGTATCTGGATCCCCCAGGCAGCTCTTCCTGTTAGAAGCTTCTTATCTGGACGCTGGAGGGACCTGTCTGTGCCTTTCATTCACTGACCCTAGAGCTACACAGTGTGGTATGATCTCCTCGGGCAAGCTACTCACGCTGTAGCTTGTCTTCTGTTATATGTGGTAACGCACCTGCCTTGTGGGAATGTTGTGAGGTTTTAACAAGTTAATGTGGTTCACGCTTATAATCCTGGCACTCTGGGAGGCCAAGGTGGGTGGATTGCCTGAGCTCAGGAGTTTGAGAGAGACTGAGAAAGAGTGAGACTTTATTTCTACTGAAAATAGAAAAAGCTAACTAGGCCTTGTAGTGGACAACTCCAGTCTCAGCTGCTCAGGAGGCTGAGGCAAGAGGAGCACATGAACCCAAGATGAGCTATGACACCATAGTACTCTTCTAGCCAAGTCTAAAACCATAGGCTTCCTGTTCTCTTTCTTTTTTTTCTTTTTAGATAAAGTCTTGCTTTGTTGCCCTGGGTAGAGTGCTGTGGCCTCATAGCTCACAGTAACCTCAAACTCTTGGGCACAAGTGATCTTCTTGCCTTATTCTCCCAAGTAGCTGGGACTACAGGTGCCCGCCACAACACCCAGCTATTTTTAGACAGCATCTCACTCTTGCTCTGGCTGGTCTTGTACTGCTGAGCTCAAGGGATCGACCTGCGTCAGCCCTTCATAGTGCTAGGATTACAAGTCTGAGGCACTGCGCCCAGCCTGCTTCCTGCTAAGTCCTGGAATTTAGAGAAGGAGCAGCTCTCTGCTGAAGATGTCCTGCAGGTGGCAGGTACACTTGAGGTCCATTTTGCCACTAAAGGGGAAGAGACTGCCTGGGAATGAAGCCAACAGGGAAGAAAATAAATAATGCAGGAGATTCTCACCTGTGTTGTTTGAGCAACTAAACCCGGTCAGCTCTACCTCTGAACATTTTTACGTGAGACAATAAATTCCTTCTTTGCTTAAGCTATAGTGTACCACAGGTACTGGGCAAGTTTGGGGCACCATTTCGAATCCTTTTCCAGCAGTGAACTGGAGCTGGCTCCTACCACCTGATAAGAGCTCATTGTGCACATCTCTTCCCCATCTAGGTTCAGTAATATCACGTTAGTAGCTTGGAATTGACCAGTTTAATGTCACCTGTGAATCTAGGCAGATGTTACTTGTCGTATGAGATCTGACAATTAAGTTTGCGAACTCATCCTAGGAAAGATGCTATATATCTCATTGCTGAGTATTACTACAGTCACTTTCAAAGTACTCCCCTTGGGAAACTATGCAACAACATTAGGACTTAGTCCACCCTTCAAAGCTCTTTTGGAACTCTTCTCCTGGAATGGCCATCAGAGCTGTCATTGCATAACACCCAACAACAATAATGAATGCTACTCCGCAAGACACCACCGTACATCAACATGAACACAGCTATGAGATACGTTATACCAAGGTTATAAAACCTTACTGAGTTGTCTGTACAGTGCTGCCAACATAAGCACATGGTGGCAAGTTTGTGAGTGTAGTTGTCCAACCTTGTACTTGTATGTGGTAATCTGATTTTCACATATTTGAGGCCCACCTCACATGCCACCTCCCCTGTGTAGCCTTCCCTGCTTTAAAATGAAGCTCATGGCTCTTGCGCCTCTCAGCCCAGGCTCTTCCTTCTGTCTTGTGATGTGCTTTGCTGTGTCTCTTTTCTCAGCTAGATTGGCAACTCCTTGAGGGCAAGCCCTGTGTCTAATTCTATCTTTATTTTTCCTGTTACACCA